TGCCAAGAATAGACAAAAAACCAAAACCCAAAAGTTTTTCAGCGTGCCACTCCCCTGCTCAAACGATTTGCTATTTTTTTTCTTTTGAAAGGGAAATGAGGTGCTGGTTATTTTTAAACATTGCCTTCTAAGTTCAGATACATTTTATGCCTTTGGTTGTATTGGTTTTTTTAAAGTTCTTCATGGACACATGACACTTGTGAAGAATGTCTTTGTAATCATCATATTTGATAAAATTTTGGCTTGTGATATTTTAAAGTGATTCCTTCCTTTTAGAGAGCTGTATGTATCTTGGAAATGCTTGAAAATTACTTGTCAGTTCTGTTAACACTAATCCCATCCTCTGAAGACAAGACAAATTGTTAGCCAAGGGGACTTATCATAATGTCTCATCTGAATGAAGAATGTAGTTTAAGAGGCTGTCATCTCTAGGCTTCGCTTCTGCTACGAGTCTGTGGTGGTTTGACCCACAGTGGGACCATGTGGTCCTCCACTCACTCCCCCCACCCGGTGAGATGGGATGAGAGTCACAACAAAGGGGCACGGGATTAGGAATGAAGGACAGGGACGGCTCACTCACCAGCTATGGTCATGGGCAAAACAGACTCAACTTGGGGAAGAAAAATCAATTTAATTAGTTGCCAGTCATCTGAGTAGCACAGTGAGACATAACAACCACATCTGACAACACCTTCCCCCGCCCCTCCCTTCTTCCCGGGCTCAAATCACTTTGCTCCCTATTTCTCTACACACCGCCTGTGCCCCGCCCCCAGCGGCACAGGGGACAGGGAATGGGCGTTCAGTCAGTTCACCTCTGCTGCTCTTTGCCACATGGAAGTCCAGGAACAAAATGTTCCAACAGGAGCTTCCCATGGAGTCACAGACCTCAGCACCCGGTACCAGCTAAGGAACATCCACGGGCTGCAGACTCACCCCCCACTCTGGGGGTCCACCCTGGCTCTGGCAGCGAGCGACTTACGGGGTCTCAATTCCAGTTACACTTGCCCTCAGGCTCGGCTTCTCTGTTCCAGTGTGGAGTCCTCCATGGCCTGCTTGTGGGTATCTGCTCTGCCATTGAACCTCCATGGGCTGCAGGGACCTCCTTTGCCTTCTCCTATTCCATGTGGTTGAACTGGGTGTCTGAGGTTCTCTGTCCTCCCCCTTCTCTTCCTTCCTCCTGGCAACAGTTCTCTCCCTTTGTTTAGGCCGATGGTCTCTTTTGTTCAGGTCCATGGCCTCTCCCCCAGATTCTCTCCACCTTCTTCTTTTCAGGACAGTCCTTCCCCTCACAAATATGGATTCGCAGAGACATTTCTCTAGTGCTCATTGACCCAGCCTGGGCTGGGGGACTATGCCCTGGAGCCAGGGGAGCTCTCAAAGCTTCTCACAAGGTGGCCCCTTCCCCCACTACCAAAAATGCACACCCTCTCCCCCCACACACACACGCAAACCCGACACCGCGTTATACTTTGGGAGGCTGCACCGTACTCCCCTGGGTATGTGTGACACCTGAGGGAGTGAAATTCCTCAGTTCCTGGTCTAAAGCTATATGGCAGCAGTACCCTTAAGAGGCTGTTTTGTTCGTTCGAAGCCACTCATTACAAGTTTCTTACACCTTTACTTCTTCAAGATACCTCTAGAAACATACCTGTTAGATGTTTTATTTATTTCCTCTCAATATATTTGCTGGAATATTACCTTCTCATTGAACATGAGGTAGTAGCCTGCAGATACTTTAATGTCTCTTCAGAATAATGTTTGTATTTCCTTGTTTACTTGACAGCTCTTTAATTAGAGATCTAACGTTACTGAGCCAAGTACCACAGGGAAGAGCTTTACCTGCCCGGAGAGCTGAGGCTCACAGTCAGTGTTCTTTACCTTATCCTGTCTCTGTAGTCAATGGACAACTCAAATCAAATAGGCACCTCTAGAGGGCAATTCCTCTGTCCTGTGTTGGGACGAGAGGGATCACAGTTCTTGGGGACTGCGGTTTGCCGTGTGTGATATTTTTCTTAAGCACTAATTACAACAAGCTTTATCAACAGTGAATTCAGCTGTCGTGACAGTATCTCTGCTGAGAAGTGAAATGTTATCCTTCTGGTTATGTTTATTAAAACAAACATACAAAACAAAGGCAAAAACCTTGTGCTAAAATATTTGTTGTATTTTTGCATAAGGCAGCACTGCTTCTGAAAGGTAATGTTGTCAAAGCAACAACAGATCAGGATTAGAAACATAAATAATGTGGTTATTCAAATATCTTGGACAGTATCCACATGGGAGAAACCGGATGTGTTTGTTTCATCTTCAAATGAGAAGAGGCAACGTGGCAAGCATTCTGAAGAGCTTGCAGAAACAGATTCCAAAGCGTCTGAATCAGACTCAGAAGATAGTGAAAATGAAGCACAGAACTCAGAAAAAAAATTCAAGGTAAGTTCTCTCTTCAGATTTATTTTACATACAGTATTCATTTCCTAGCATAAGTTGATTTATCTTTTATGTCTTGTGATAGGCTGTACTCATTGTAATGAGGTTAAATCGTGTGACTGAAAGTCAGCCCACCAGAAGCAGATTGAATCCTGCAAGAAATGTGATATTCTCTGAGAAAGGGCACTGTCGTCTCTCTGAAATAACCCACAGAATTATTTGGATTTCAGTGTGAGGCTGTGACTTCTGACTTTCATTGGTAAAAGTGCCAACTGCCAGGAGACCTTCAGGGAATGCCCTTGACTGAAAATGACATGGCTGTAGTTTCCTCATTCATTGAGAAAATCATTGGCAGCACATAGTACAAAACCTGTATCAATTACATATTCTTGTCTTCAGATTTAAACTTAAGATAAAGGGTGTGGTTATGGCTCTGGTTGGGTCAGATGGTTTTTCTGAAACTGGCAGTTCAGAACAGAGAAAGAGAGAGAGAGAGTTTAAATATACAATGTATTCATAGACAGGTGTTAATTCTGAAATACATATTTTTATATCACTGTGCATCGTTATAAACTACTACTAGATATTAGCTGTAAAGTGTGTGTATCTGCACGCACAGAAAGTGATATGTCAAATTTTGCCTCTTTTTTTTAAATATGCTAAGCTTTGATTTTAAGTAAGTTTGTGTTGGCTACTCCTTGCTAACTTCAGCCTTGATAGATGGGATTTTTGAACTTTAACTTTTTGTAACATTTAAGATTTTTTTTCAACTCTGTAAGTGATGAAAGATCAAGGAGAGAAATGTAAAGATTTTATTACAAGTTTATTGTTTCAAGTTACTCTTGGTTGAAAAGTATGAATAGTAGATAATAGTAACTAAAAGATGTAAAATAAAGCTACATTGTGTTTTTATTTAGGCATTTTTGCTTAAGGTGGGTTTTTTCCTCTTTAGAGGAATGGTGAAGAATCAGAGGAAGGGAAAAAATCTCCTAGAGCTAAAAAGTTAAGTCCTTATGGGAAATGGCGAGAAGTTAAATCAGAGGAAACTGTTGATAAAGAGGAGAGCACATCAGCTTCCCAAGAAACCTCCAGTGATGCACCTAACAAGACCAACCCTTACGGAAAATGGAAACCAATTAAGGCAGAAGGAGAAGAAGACGAAGAAGAAGAACCATGGTGAGGATATTTTTACCATAGTTATTTTCATAGTATTTGCTTTCAGAATACTTGTTTTCCAAGCTGAAGCATTTTCTTTTGAATTCTGGCAGAATTAGCACAGCAGTAATTGGAAACTTAGTCCAAATACAGTTCTTAGTGCAGTGATTATTTTAGGTAATAGCTCTCCATAGCAGAGGAGTGGTGGTGTTTTGGTTTTAGTGTAGAAGTTCACCATGAATAAAGTGAAGTGATTGAAGTGATTTAAAGGATCATTGGCATTCATCATTTTTCTCAGAGGCTGATTATCAGCTATTTAAATGTAGTTACTCTAAGCTCATGTTCTTTAATACCACCTCCTTCAACAATCTGGTTCAGCTGCCTCTGGAGCTCTTGTGACTGTTTTAAAACTGCTTCCAGCCTTGGAACAGCATAGGAAGCTTTCTCAGGGTCTCTAACTTGCAGGCTAAATTCTGTTTCTTTCTGGTTGGGCTAACTCTGCCTGGAGTTCAAGATCTATCTTGATCTTCTAGGGACAGCAGCGACCTGATCTTCATCATACTGGGTTAGCATTGCTTTGAACTCCTTTCCTGTGGGATCAGTAGTTGCTGACATAATGAGTTACACTTTTTTAGACTCCGAGCAATTTCTGCCTAGAGCCCAGTCTGTTTGGCTGAGTTACTTCCACAAGAGGTGAATTGTTTCTTACTTTGTGGGGTTGTACTGACTCGAACTGTTCACTTGAAGGACACAGCCTAAAAGACACTTCAAATTTTTTGTCTTACTTTCAACCAGTATTGCAGTAAAAGACTGCAATACTGCTTGAATTGTTGAATTGTTTTTCTTGTTGCCTAATTTCCCTCATTGCAAAACAAAGTTAAGCAAAACCAAAACAAAATCCTCTACAATCTCTTCTGCTGTCACTATGAGTAAGTCCTGGAGGCTCTTATAAATGTGGTGGGAGACACTTTCTGTAATGATTTAAATAAGGAGATGAAAGACAAAATATGTGTAATCTAGTTAGGCCAGTTTTAAATCTGGAAGCTGTCTCTCTCTTCCATGCCCAACCAATGTCCTGCAGATGTTTTCATGACATGCATCTGATCAGGAGGGGTTTCTTTGTTTTGATTTACTGCATAATGCCTGAGATGGCTCATATTCTTGTGAAGCAATGCTGTCTTTTATGTCCAGTTTCTTGCTATGGGGTCCTCTAGGTTTGGGAGAATGGAATCAGTCTTTTCCTTCATACTCAGCCCATTCTCCACCATTTTAGTTCTAAATTATTCAGCAGATACAGTTTTGACACTGTTTGAACTAATCATTGGAGATGATAATGCCACTTGATGAGTTCATGTAACACCTCCTGCATTGGACTACCTAACCGCTCCTCGACTCCAGAGCTGATAAATTCTTGTAGGTTTTTGGAAGCACTGTCCAATAAAAAGTGCTTTCAGCTACTGAACCTTATGTATCAGTCTGTGCATTAACACACAGGCTTGATATATACACAGATGCAAATGAGACAAATGCATTTGTTCATTATTTACTTTAACTTGAGACTAGGCAGAGTACCAATCACTTTCAGGAAGTTTAAATTTAAGGGATACTGCAGTAGTCACATTTTCTTGACTTGGAATCATTCTCATGGCTCCTCTTTAGGTGTTTGAGCTGATCCGTGTCTTCCTTGAAGCACAGGATCTGGTACTAGGTGTGGTACACGAGCTGACATCAGACTAGCACTCAGTAGTACTGAAGGATTCCTTGCATGGGTTGGCCAGGACTACGATGTGTATCTCTGCAGGAGTGTCATGCTGGTGTGATTCCTGTCAGACTTGTGATTTAGATGATCTTCTGTGAACCGTTCAGTTGTTCTCTGTCGTACGTTTGTGCAACAAGTTATTCTTGTAGAACACGGTGCTTTGCTGTTGGCCTCCTAAAACTGACTGGTCGTTTTTAGACGATGACTTTGATTTGTTCAGATGAGCATTAGCTGTGATCCTGTCCTCCAGGGCTGCTTCTCCCAACGTGAGGACTTGGCTGATTTTCTAAGCGTGTTCTCTGTCCTGTCATGCAGACCTTCAAGGATGGACAACCTGGAAAACGACTCAATAGCCTTTTGTTAATAAACCATTGCTAATTACTCGCTGTGTTCCAACATTCTTAGATTTGCACACACACAGCCCTGTTGTCTCTTACAGGACTATTTACATGAGGAGTGGTTGGACCATGGTATAAACTCTGTAGAGACTGAGGTCTTAGTTTTTGACTTTTCATACCAGTCCACACAGAAGAAACAAAGAACATGTGTTTGTTCTTGATCCCTGTCATGATGATATCTTGGCTAGAAGACCTCATCTAGCTCAAAGCTGCTTTGACAATGAAATATGGATGTTACTGTCTGCAGTACACCATGTTGCTTTATCTCTCTAGATTAACACGTTTATGTTTTCCTCTCTTCTCCCAGTGAAAAAGTGGACCTGGAGCTTCCTAGTACAGAGAGTGACAGTCTACCACCTCCAGTGCTAGAGGTGCCAGAAGATTCAACAGTGATATTTAAAGAGAAGACAGTCACCTCCCTTGGAGACCAGACAGAAGGGGTACCAACATTTAAAAAGAGGAAATTTGAAAATGGAAAATCTAGAAACTTAAGACAAAGACTAAGTGATCAGTAATACTTAACAAATCATTTTAGACTCCGTTTAAGCTAGAGTGAATCAAAAGATTAATATTTTAAACAGGCTTTTATAAAGAAAATGTTGGATAGAACTTAAGGATTTATAGGTATTTAAACATAGGTGAGTTGTAATATTTTTTTATTTTATTTTGATGTGATTGATTTTGGAGAGGAAGTTTGTGTTATATTACTCATGCAGTATTGTAAATACATTTCTTTTTTATTTTAACCACGCCGTCTAAGTTCAATTTGCTCTTTGTATCCTGTTTTAAATAGGTTGTGTAAGGTTTTTTACTCCTTTTCTAAGTCTGGGAGAGTGCGATAATCCTTAATCTGGCAAAAATGTTGCAGATCTTTTATTTTTACAGAGGAACTGGATCAGTGGCATGTACTAGAGAGCGGGATCATCCCCCAAGATTGTTTATGTGGAGTAGTTTTCCCAGCTAATGAGTAAAAACTGTGTTTACTAACCTCTGGCTAATCGCCTGCAAAGGAGTAGGTGGTGAGAGTGCCAACATTTCAAACAGATCGTTTGAAAGCTGTTTTTAGATGAGTTAGTCACATTTGTGCCACTCATTTCAAATAACGTTCTGAAAGAAATTATTTGTGTACATGCATGATAAATATATTAGACTTCTGCAGGAGATTTAAACCTTTTTAATCTTAGCTTTTTAATAACAGCAGCAGAGCCACCCTTCTTGGAATAGATATTCTGTTGTATTTTGCTTTATTTGTTGTCTCTACTTGAATTTTTCTTTCTTTGTGCATAACAAGTTTTC